GCTGGGCCCTCGCTCCCTGCTCACAGCTGTGTGTTGGGCACCGGGGCCTGCGGAGAATGGCTAATTAGAAAACCGGGCAGAACAAAGCCCACACAGTGGGGCTGGCACAATAGCATTCCTGTCTCACATCGGTCAAAAGATGGGGTTTATTTCTTGATTCCTCCCCTCCTCGCTCCTATAGTACAGCACAGATCAATAAGTGCTTCTTCTCCCTAGGCAAGCACTGAGTCCTGTACTATTCCTCCCTAAAGACATGCACAGAGCTTACATGGAAACAAAGCAGAGACCTGGCAGGGGTGGGTGCACTGTTCTAAGCAGAGGTCCTTTAAGTTTTTTATACTTTAGTATGCTTTTTTTCTAATTTTTTAACACAATTTCTGTGAAAATTGTGATCAAAAGAGGTATTAGGTGATACTTGCATTATTTATTCTTTTCTAAACCATTTAAGTGAAAATTTGAATTGGTTGTAGCATGTGTATTAGGTGATCCTTTATTATCAACGTGTATAAAGCTGTAACTGGATGAAACACAAAGCTGAGCTGGAAAATGTCATTGACAATTCAGTTCAGAATGTGAATGTGCTGCATTAGACTTGCCAGGCCTACACTTGTAATGGACATAATGTACACAAGCTTAGTCAGTGTCTGCTCTGATTCTTTATTAGCATTTCTGTTGCAAGTTTTGCTGTCGAGTTCACCAAGGTTTGGGGGTTATAATTCCTTGAGGTTTGATCGCTGGTTTGGAAGGGAAAAAGCCAGACCTCTGTTTCTAAGTCACCGCTAGGTTTGTCAAGTTGCCTCAGTTGAAAGAAAACCTGTAAACTTCTTGTATTTGGTGTTGAAGAAGAGGTTTAGGTGCTCTCTTCCACTGGAAGAGAGAGCCATTTCAAGAAGTGCATGTCCTGATACTATATGTCTTAAGTTTTAATTAAATTCTTAATTCTGTGCTCAGTTGAAGTTTGAGCCGGAGTTTGAGGAAGGCACAGAGCTGCTCATCATGCCACAAACTCCCTCCCCCGATATTTTTTTCTGTAGGTTAGACCTCCAAAATGGTCCTTTGCTTGTGTTAAAATCATCCTGAGTTTACAGGAAACCTGAAAATCCTTTCAAGTGGGCAAAAGGAGGTCGCTGTGCTCCAAGCCAGGAGCCGTGAAGTGGTGCCCGATCAGGGAATGCTGATTTTAATGAGGGCAGCTCTAATGACTCATCCTGACTCAGTGCCTTTTCATACAGAGCGTAATTAGATCGCCAGGGCAGAGCGTGCTGGAGGTCAAAAGTGTAAGTGGATTTAAGGGGAAGAGAGGGGTGAGTTGATGGGGGATGAACTTGAGTCTCTGAGGCGTTTTTTTTTGTGGTTTCCTTGAGGCTGCTGTGGGGGATGTTAGGGCTAATATGGCCCTAGAGAGTGGAAAGGTAGGAAGGGGACTTGAGGCTGCTGACATTGTAGGCAGACCAAGTTGTTCTGTGGCATCAGTGTGTGCTGTTCCAGTGTTCAGGCTCTGTGAGCATTGCTCCCAGCTTCTCTTTTGTGAACATTAGGAGTGTACATGCAAGAAATAAATGACACACATAGCCACGGACACAGTGCTGCTGGGGTAAGGTATTCAGTCCCTTTCAGAGATGTGCCTAGAGCACAGCCTGCTCCTTTATCTGCTCTGGGTATCACAGCTACACCTTGTATACTACACAAAGAACAGGCAAAATACAAGAAAATACTGAGGCTTTGTGCCATGGCCTGGCTAATTGTACCAGGATGTTCAGATGTGCCTTAAAACCAAAGGCCTGGCAATGCCACTCACTTGGATTCAGTTTCACTTGATCTTTTGTTCAGAAATAATGTGCTAAAAAGTTGTCACAGAAATTAGTATAATAAGTTAAAGGAACCTGAGAATCACAAACTCAGGGTGCTCTAAGAGGATGCAGTGTAAGTTTCCTGTTTGCCATTGCCTCATTTTTACCCAGCTCCCTACATTGGTAGTGATCCCGTTGAATCAAGGCTGTGTTAGGCCAGGAATGACGCAGATGTTTGCAGGAAGAACCCTTCTTCTGACAAGTCTGTAGTTGATTTTCTGCATCCCTTGCACAGTAGTGATGTCCAGCATTCCTCTGGGGAAGCAGATGGGGAAGGGGCTGCAGGTCAGAGGACAGCACCGTGTGAAACATTAATGAAATCTGGGATAGGAAAGAACCTTTCAGTTGATGCCAAAATACAGCAAGCTGAGATGGAACTTTGTGTCTCCCTGAGGTTGGCACTGGGCAGTTTTGACCCTGGGGAATTATGTGCTTTCTTATTTAGCATTCTAAAAGGAAGTCAAAGGATAGCATCAGGTTCCTCTGCTTCTGCTTTGGCCAGGCATCATCCAGCTCTGGTCTGGATATTAAGGTTCTGCTGATACAAACGATTTTATTTTGTATTCCACTTATTTTTTTTTTAATGTAATCCTGTTTAATATGATGAACAAATCCCGTGCTTTCAGCCTTGATGCTAGGATCTTGCCTTGGCTGTCAAGATTTTAAATTCACCTTTGTCCATGTTATGTTCCACTGAAGCAGTGGGATTACCTTCAAAGGGAAGGATTACAGAGGCTTGGCTGTGAAACCACCAGAGCAGGTTGCTTGGCTGTTCCATAGCCAAATGCAGAAGTCTGTAGGTGACGTAGTCAAGTTCCTTTTTTTTTTTTTTTTACATTATTATTCCTCTACATAAAATTCTAAGTACTTAGCAGCTATTTTTTTTCTTACAGCTGGGGGTTTATTGAATGCTGCTTTAGAAATTCCATTACAGGGAAGTATTTCTACCTCCTCTATGCTTCTATAATGAAGTATAATTGTTACTGTGTGAATACATGGGTTTGTGAAGTCTACCAGAATTTCCCTTTCAGCGCAGAGGAGCAGTGGCTTTGGGAGCCAGTTCTCAGCTAGAACAGGCTCACCTCCTGCAGAAATCATGTCTGGCCAGGGAGAGGTAGTCAAAGGTAGGACCTTCTGATGCCAGGATGATCAAGGATTATTCTCCATCACTTTCCAGGGATCAAATTGGGGCTGAGTAGACCACTCAGTGAATTTTCATCTATGAAAACACAAGTGACACTTGCAATTTATCCAGTTTCCCCACCCATTTCATACCAGACGCCTGGCATTGCTGGGTGCATCCTGTCACACCCTGTATAAGTAGTCTGTCTGGTCTATTTACCCTTTCCCTCTGGTCTGAGGAACATGGCATTGCCAAAGGCCAAACCAACTAAGGCTAAAATGAAGAAAGAAGGAAGCACCTTGAACATTTTGTCGCCAGGTCCCTTGTCCTGTTCAGCTTTGGCTTTCCAAAATCCATCCCTGCAAGCTCAAGCAGTGCCTGGATATTGCACCCATCCCTGAATCAAGTGTGATGGGTTTTTCTCCTTTTGTATATCTTTGTTTATTTTCCTGACACCTTTTCTGTCATCTCACCACGGACCTGTTTGAGCTTGGAGGATGTGCTGCTGGAACATGCTCTCCCAAGCCTGTCGTGCTAGGTCTGTGTCTCACAGGATTCTTCCAAGCAGGTCTCTGAACAGGTTGGAATTAACTTCCTTGAAGTCCTGGAGATGGTGCTGTTGTCTGCCCTGTTGCCTCAGAATCCTGAGCTCCATCTCATGGTCGCTGCAGGCGAGGCTGCCCTCACCTTTGTGTCCCGAGGTCTGACGTGTTTGGGTATTTGGGAGCCAGCTCCAATGCCTCGTTTGTGGCTCCTTGAGCACCTCTGTTGGGGAAGTGTCAGCAAGAAAGCTGACTCCTGAAACCTCCTGGAATGTGCCTCTCTGGCTGGCTGAGTGCCCCATGAACACCAGGGCCTGAGAATTTTGGGATTTCCAGAATGGTTTGTCCTAGAGCCCGCAGAAAGTTCTTTACTCTTCAGCTTTAAACAGCTGATGGGAAAGACTTCAAGATGTGTAACTATTGAAGCACTGCAGTGACTATATGTGATGACATTTGCAGTGTGCCTTAGGTCCTGAAGTAAGATTCAAGGACGAGCTTTAAATAAATCACAGAACCACTTTGGGAACTTTGGTGTCAGGAGTTCAGCCCCTCATAAATGATTCAGCAATCTTTTTTGCTTAATAGCAGAGAGTGGTGCACAACCCCCAGTGCAATGTGGAAGAATGGAGAGATGTGCTGGGTTTTGTGCTGGGATACGATAGCACGGCGTTACTCCGTTGCTGTCTGCCCTCCTATTTATTGCCGGGACAAGAGGCACATTGTGAGCGCGGCGCTTCATTTTCTCTTTGCTCATTTCCTATTGCTGCACTGGCCTCGAGCAGGCTTGTGCTTCAACTTGATGAGACCAGAGTTAAACAATATCCTTAGAAACAGAAGATATTCTTCATCTGATTGATATGTCAGTGGCAGAGTTGGGGTTTTTTTGTTGGTTTCCACTGCTAACAGTGGTTTTCAGGAAAACCCAGAATTTAAATCTGTGCTTTCAAAAGTAAAGGGTGCTCTTTACTCCTTGATCTGTAGAAACTTGACAGTGTCTTTAGAAGCTCTGGCTTCCTTCGAGTTGTGTTTATTTCTTTTCCATAAATGAAAGCAAAGCAAGGCTTTTAAAGCACTCACTTGGCTAAAGGCTGGGAATGACACAGATGAGTCCCAGGCTTCATTCACACTTCTCCTGAGCAGGACTTCCAAGCTGGTACTATGAGATGCATGTGTTTATGCTTTGCTGAGTTAAAATGCAGCCTGTTAACTTGGGAATGTGTGCCAACTGATCAGTTAAGGAGGGACAAATTGTTTTAAGCCGCTGGTGGTTAATTCTGGACCTAAAACAAACAGGGAAGGGTTTTGCTGTTCCTGGACTCTGAATCCTGAGCCATTGTTCTCGGTGACTCCAGGAATGTTTGGGATTTGTGGAACTTTGCTTCTGAAGCAGCCAAGGCACCTCCAACTGCTCTTCCTAAGCCGTGTTTGCTCGCTGTTGCTGTGCTTTGCCTGTGCAGTGTTGAGCGTGAACTTTGTTTTCCGCAGGACCTCCAGGCGTGGGTGAACGGCGCTCACGAAAACGGCTTTGTCCTCGTCTCCTTCGGCGCTGGGGTCAAGTACCTGTCGGAAGACATCGCCAATAAGTTGGCACACGCCCTGGCAAGGCTGCCCCAGAGGGTTATCTGGAGGTAAGGGCAGTGTTGGAGGAGCTTGGGGTGGTTTGGAGCAGCCTTGCTTCCCCCTGGAGATGCAGAAGATGGAATGGAGCCTGCCTGGGTGGCACAGACCGTGTGATGCTCTGGAAAAACACTTGGCATGAAAATGTTGCAATATCCTCCTAACGAGGAGAGGCAGTGATTGTCGTGGCAGAGTAAGGTGTGGGTTCATACCCTTGGAAGGTCTGGGAACAGTGAGAAGTTCAGAACATTTGGGATACACTGACACTATTTTTGATGAAGGAGCTACCCCAGGGCTCAAAAATGAATCCTGATGATCAAAAATCTCTGTTCTCTTTCTTCTTGCCCTTTTCCCTCAGTTTTTTAGGCCCCTTTTCCTCTTCCATGTGTAAACACAGGCTTTCCTTATTCATTTTCCCACTTGCTTGTCCTTCTGTGAGAAACTGAAGGAAGAGAAATTTTCAGGAGTCAGAATCAGTAAAGAAGTGTTCTCAGTTTTAAAAACGTCTTGAATAGTGTTCTCAACTCTGTGTAAAAATCCCCAAACTGTTTAGTCAGCTCTGCTTCATGTCAAGCATTGCTGATGTAATTTGGTGGAGTTCATGTGAACATTTTATTTTCAGATACTCAGTGTCTTACACCTCAAAAGGGTGTCTCAAGACCCTGCCACACCCTTGGAGTTGTATGAACAGTCTTGGTGGCTTGTTCCCCACAATTTTTTAGGGAATGTCCTCACTGCTGCATGTAGTTTGAGGATTAAATCCTGCGAATGAACGGGAAAAACGGGAATTTTTCAGGCTGTGGCGCAGGATCTGTGGTTGTGAAGGTAACATCAGTTTTTGTTTGGAGTGGAGACATTGTTGTGGATCCCACAACACTGCTTGGCTTCTAATTAATAATTGGAAGTTATCTTAGTGCTTTTCTGCTGTCCTTTTACTATGTTTTCACTGGATTGTCTCTTTAGGAAGCATCCCCTTTTGGAAGAAAATAAATAGGTTTTTTTCTTGAGGATAGCTTTTTTTAATGCCAACCCAACAATTCCATTTAAAGCCTTCTATTAAAATTTGGGTGTTTATATATCAATCAGATGGAACTTGGAGTTTTTTGGGGATTTGGGGTTTGGTTTTGTTCCTCAGATCCTGAACCTGTACGTTGGACAGAAAAGTGGTGAGTACTGCTTGGCAGTCTTCATGTCACAATGCCAAATTTTGGGGTTTTTTTTGCAGCTCTTTATGCCCTTCTGGTTAGGGAGGACAAACCAGTAACATAATTAATTGATTTTATTGAACTAGGATAAATAATGTAGGCTTTTTTTGACAGACACAAGTACAAGCCTGTTGCAAAGGTGCATGTCTTGCTTACTTGGGAGTGTGTAGCTGATTCTTTGGGAAGTTGCAGTTCCAGTCCTCTCCAATGAACCAATCAGCTCAATCCTTTAGTGGTTACTTTGGAGGGTTTGATAACTGTTTCCATTTCATGTTACTGGTTTAGGTTTTCAGGAAACAGACCGAGGAATTTAGGCAACAATACCAAGCTTATCGAATGGTTACCACAAAATGACCTCCTTGGTGAGTATCTGCTTCCATTGTTTCTTGCTTATTCTCACTTGAGTTCAGTTTGTTCTTGCAGAAATACTCTACTGAATTAGCTGTGATTATCAGACCAGGATAATTTCTGTCACGGAGCAAGGATGTTAAGTTAGGATTCTGTGGAGCCGAGGTGCTACAGGTTCTTGGGGGAAAATAAAACTTGATAGTTTATTTTTTTCTTGTCCCTATCAGGGGGTACCTGATGTATCTGTTTGTGGGAGACCTGGATGTGTGTGTGTGTTCCCAAAAGAGCTCCAATGGGAGCTGATGAGTGCATTAAACATCTGTGTGTGTGTGTGTGTGAGCCAGAGAATTTCCCACACCGTA